TAAGAACGTTGCAGTCGGGCGTTACCGACTGCGGAATACTCATTCACATCCCATCAGCAATCTAGTAGCTAAGTTTAGCTCTAATACTGTAAAAAGTTCAGTTTTTCTCGATTTGCCAAGTTCCTACTAGGCGTAGACACTTTATTTTTGGCCAGGAAGTTATTAGTAATTTAACTACCCGAATTTGAAGCTTCTAGCCCTTATATTTTAGGAGATATACACTTTTGCGGTTTGCCACGCCTCTGTGGGCGGACATATATCCATCAAAACTTTTTGGTCTTGTGAGGTCAGCCCGAGTATATATACCAAATTGGAGGTCTCTAGCATCAATATGTCCAAAATATAGCTTAATTTGAAAAATCAGTATATCTTCAGGTCCGCCCCTAAAAGGCATAAACATATAAGTTTTTCATTAATCTTTATAGAATCATAACATTAGCTCACGTGCAAAATTTTTACGTTCTAGCTTAAAAACTCTAGGAGATACAGTTTTATCCGATTTGCCACTCCCCCAATGGGCGTAGATATATCCACCATTGCACGTGATATTGGGTGGTCAATGTGGATCTACACTCCAATTTCAGAGTATGTGTATTCACTTTCGTGAATGAGTATAAAAAGTACATAAGAGTATGATGTAATTTGATAAAATATACAAACTTCAGGTGCCGTATAAGCGGAAATGGGTCCTTCCTTCGGTTGCTTTACATCCAAATATATCTTTAATACTTTACAGTTGTCGAGGAGATATAAATTGCGAGTACTTAAATTGCCATGAATTATTTTTAAATCATGTAAAGCCTTAAGACCCTAGAATTGTGAATTATTCCATTGATTGACTAGACCAAAAGCACAAAGAAACACAACATAGAACATACCAATACTAACTGTTGCGCCCAGCCTAGTAGCTGTACATCGGAAAATTGTCGATGTTCATTTTCATGTAGATTATTATATAGGGAACAATTTTCAGAACAGTCTAAAGACGGACCACGATTTGATTTTGATTTATGCTCTAATTCATTTTGCCCATCATAATGCCCATCCCGCACACCATAGAAGCGTCCATAATGTTTCTAGAATGTTTATAATTTAGTAAAGTTAAAGTAAAATTATTATATACATACATATTTGACAACATAACATATTTAAATACATACCCATAAAAAAATTATTTCATTCAACTTAATTTGATCAGCCATTTTCGCGACGTATAAAGTTAGCGATAAGCAGTGCGGCCAACTTTTGTTTAGTGGGAAAATACTTAAAAAAAGACAAAATTTTATGAAAAAAAAAAAATCGGAAAAAAACTGATGTTTTTTTTTTCTTTAATTTGATTTATATTTAATTACATTTTTAACAAATTGTAATCATGGCAGTATTTCTTCAACCGCCGCAAGCCGTATTTGTGATACCTGTAGCGCCACTGGATTGAGCGAATATTCTTATATTGGTGTTTTATACTTTCAATTTTCTTTGAATAGAATAACTCTAGTTTAGGAACGACACTTCTGTATAAGAACCAATTGGTTTTGTCTTGGTTTTTTTATTTTTTTATTTTTTATATGGCGAAAGATATCGCTCAAACTGTCATAAAGGCAATAGTTTTTGTTATTATTATTATTTAATTTTAAGGAACACAGAGTGGATTTAAGTTAGAATTAATTTAATAAAAAATAATTTCAGTTATATAACTTTTAAGCTTTTGATTTGTTTTGATTAACAAATGTGTTTTTGTTTGATCTCTAAAGAGTCTTGAAATAGTTGTTATTTTATCCAATTATTAATTATTAATTATCGACTGCGGGACTGCCACTAAACAATTTGCAAGAGATTTTGGCAACAGAATAAATACATACATGCATGCATATATATACAGCGAGGATATTCTTGTGTTATATATATATATATATATATATATATATATATATATATATATATTTGTAGCATAATTTGAAATTCTACCAAATAAATAAATAATGGTAAGTTATGCATAAAAGTGTTAGACAACGGTTCATATTCCATTTGGAGCTGGAAAGATCGCAGGTCTAATATGTATATGGTTCGAGCTGCTGAACAAACAGATGCCCAATCAAGGATCAAGAACATTCAAAAACGATCTGCAAATTTTAGTAGAATACTTGTATAATTATGAAATACACAGACAAGTATGGACTATATACTTAAAGTAGACAAAATGGAAGATATATTTAAACATAGACTGATAGGCTGATGGATAATGCTATTAGGTTTTCGAATGATGGAATGCGCGGCCTCAGTGCCGCAGCAAACAGCCGAGAGAGGCGGCCAGGCAAAGAATTGTGGTCATGAAGGAAGCGGGACTGGCTAACGCCGGTGCTGCATTGCAGCCCTCCTCGCTGCAGGTGCAAATGGTCTGCTTGTAGCCCTCGTTGTCGGCCGTGAAGCAGGCATTATGCATTTTCTCCTGTATCCAGCCGCAGCTACGCTCGATGCGCCGCTCCTCATTCACTTCCAGCTGAATGATCGTCTTGCGGCAGAACGCCTGCTCATCCCCCTTGGGCGCACAGTCCCTCAAGAATTGATCGTCCCGCTGGGCGCGTGGCGTATTCACCACGAGGGTGGCGCAGTCCTCACTATCATGTGAGTTGCACTGGTGACAACGCAGGCCGGAAACTGAAAATGTAAATATTGAAGATATGAACAGTCAGTAAAAACTAGAATTGAATAAAAGGAAATTATGCGACGGGTGTAAGCTACTGGATAATGCCCGCCCACATACCAATCAAAGTCTGTCCCTAGACTTTTAGATATTTATTTAAAGTGGAAGCCAAAGATTCAAGAGATAAAACTCAAACTAAATAAGATGTAGAAATGCATCTAGAGGAAAGATATGGAATGGGTGTAACAGAGCGCTTAACACTCGGTCTCGGTTCCAATAAATTTGCAGCGGAACTCCACTCATTAGGTTAAACATTTGTTTTTTTTTTTTTCTTTTTAATCTTGCACTTTAATATTAGATTACTCTGCAGCTAGATTTGCCTTGCAGCCTTGATTAGAATAGAAAAGCAATTTGTCAGCGATACTTCAACGCGCATGTAGAGTAGACCTTTTGAATGGCATGCCAAATGCACCACCCTTTTCACATGGCCAGACATTTTGACAGCAAATTATTTTATTAGCCCGCCAAAATAACTGAGCCACCTGAGTGACTGCCTGACTGACTGGCTAAATCCAGAGGGCTGTGCTGTCCTGTTCTGTCCTGTCTTGAGTTGAACCTACTGAAGACTTGGCTAAATAATTGCATGTCAACTCCGTGCACTTCTTGTTGAGTTTCTTATTCTGTTGCTATTACCGCTGACACGCAACAGAACACAAAAACTGAAGCTAGACGGAAGATGGCCTCGGTATTGACCTTTGCATACCCTAGCTAAAGCTTAATCACAATTTAATCCAATTAATTTTATTTCCTGGTTAGCTTTGAGATGAATTGTTTTTAAATACTCTTTAATTGTTTCCAATGAATTCTGCTTAGCTTTCTAATTCTCTGTTTGCATCTCTCAACCTTAAGTCTCTCTCTCTTCTTTTCCCGCTCTCCTCTATCGCTGTGTCTCAAATAAGATTCCTGTCTTCATATGTCTTTTCCTCTTTCAAAGTTTTCTTAGAAACTAATACACTCTTTCAACGAATATCAAGTTACCTCAAGAGACTTGACTTTTGGATTAATGCCGTTTAACGTGGCGTATGCGCAACTTTTTGTTGCTTCTTACTTTGTTGGTAACACAAAGTCCCTGACTTTTGGCCTATGCATGGTCGGTGTTGCCGACCGTTTGATAATTAAGCTGAGCTAATAAAAACCAGTTGCCATAAAAAAGGAAAGAGAATAAAAGCATTGAAAAAGTACAGTACTTTGCATTTTAATGTTGGATTTGTAATATTAGATTCGAGATATCGTATCTGATATTTGCATTTTACATTGCACCTTGCGGCTTGCGGTCAACTTAAGCTTCAACTTGTAGCGCAGTGCGCCAATGAAACGCGTAGCACTCACACAACACAAAATATAAACCCTCTGAACACTTAGTCAGTATATAGAACTATATACATATATATACACATATTATATACTTAAAGATCCATGATCATATCCAATAGCACTAAAGAGCTTTAATGACTTAACATCCTCAACTGTGCTGGAATGTTGCGTGGGGGAAGTTACATTTAAGTGGTTCACAACGAAGAGGCAAAATACATAAACTCCATCCAATTGAGCGTGGTGCCTGATCTACTGTGTACATATAGCAATATGCAGGCAAGTATATTATTATTATTATATTTTGAGCTATGTTCAATTTTAAATACATATTTTCTGAAAATCTTGATACTGCGTCTAGAGTAAAGGAAACATTTTTAAACTCTATTAACTTTTACAATAGAGTAGATAATTTATAATTTCCTACAGGGTATAAAATAACTAGAATCTTACAATTTTATTTACAATTTGAGTCGAAGAAATCTTTAAAAGTTATTTTTCATGTTTTCCATTTCAGCAATAAATTTAAAAGAATATACGTATTACATGGTATTTTGTAAACGATCGACTCTTAATATATCAATTAATTTTAACTTGTACAGGGTAATTGCATAACTGTCTATCAATCAGAGATATTTCAGCAATAAGTTGTTGGTTAAAATGAGTTACAATATGTTACTGGGTATCTAACAGTCTAATAATCAATCTCATTAATCGAGCAATTGACTTGCTAACACCTGTTCGGGTGTCCATTTTCCCGTTACACATTTCACATCAAAACGACAAACACCAAAATTAATTCTTATCAAATTAATTAAATTGCTGCTTTGTACACCCTATCTATTATCTAATAAAGAGTGTTGCGAGCGTTCCACATGAATGAATTTAATTGAAATGCCGAAAAACAAGATTCGAGCTGATTCGTAAACGTGAATTGGCTGAATCAATTAATTAATGATTGAATTAATTAAACAGCAAATCCGATATTAGGTGAATGAAAGACGATGCCAATTAGAAACTTAAACTGCATATGATTAAACTAATTATACTGATTTGCCTAGCTTAATTAGTGATTGTTTAAATAGTTGATTGATTTACGATCAATCCGAAATATACGACTAAACTATGTTTTTTTTTTTTTTTTAAATCGAAAAAGTGGAAACCCTGGGTTATATTACCCTTAATGTCAAGCGTATAATCCTAGTAATATTCTCTCTAATTGCAAGAGCACACAACTATAAATCATTTACCTGATAAGAGATTAGCAATAAGAGCGATTATCACGATGTAGGCGAGCGTCTGCGACATCTTTGTTGTTGTCAGTGTTTCTAGGCAGCTGACTTCTCTGCGGCGAAGTTGTTCCAAAACTATGTGAATGATCTTGACTCTGTAAAGTCGTTAGCTTTATCTTTAGATTATCTAAAATGCAAAGTAAGCAAAATGTGTAAAAAAAAAAAACTATTATAAGCAAAATAATCAAATGAACTTGGCTTAAATATACCCTGTAAGTATTTAGAAGAAATAAAAGATATCCTTAACAAAAAAGAACCTTAGATGGCTACCATGTATTTGCAGTTACGAAAAGAAAATTGAATATTTGACTCGAGGATAGCCTTAAAGAGTTGATAAAAAAGATAATGACAAAGAATTCCAATAAGATAAAAGGCGAATATGGGAGATAACCGTGAACTACACAAATATCGCGATACTTTTCAAACACACCTCGTGGGTCCATTCACTCAATATACCCTTTTATTAACTTTGAACAGGGTAAAACGTATAATTGAATATGAATATATTTACAGATTTATTTTACAATCTGGTTTTTGTTGTTCGTCTAAAAGTTGATTAGCATACAGTGTTATGCATTTGAATTAGCAAGACTGTATTTGCTTGAGAATATATTGATGATAAACTGTTAAGCATTATTAAACATTCATTTTCTATTCAGATTTTATTAGCATTATTAACATTTTATGCGATACACTTTGCACTCAATTAAACGCCGAATTTCGATTAAATTTTTCAAATACAAATTAAAAACTCACAATATTTTAATATTTAAGAAATAATAGTTGTGAAGTCACGAGTCGAACAACTTGACGCGCTCAACGTCCAGATGAATCTGAAAACTTGCGTTGAGTTTTTCAAAACAAAATGATTTGGAAAACGCGAACATGAGAAGTTAAGAAGAATCAGACAGCAGCCAGCAGCGAAGAGAGCCTGAGAGAGAAGGCAGCTGAGATTAACTTGCGTGTGAATGCATGCATGTGTGTGCGCATGCATAAGTGTTTGTGCTTGTGTGTGTGTGTAAGAGAGCAACATTGAATGACAACAGCAGCAGCAGCAGCAGCAGCAGCAGCATTCATGAGTAAGGGCAGCTGAAGAGTGCAGCAATAGTCGTAAGAAGCAAGCGAAAAACTTCCGTTACTTGATCGCCATTAAGCTTAGCCCAGGGTAGGCATGAGACGGGGCATGAGCATTGGCCGTGAAGGTTGCCCAACGGCGTGCATTGATAACGCGCTGTGGATTCGATGCATGCTCGAATTTCTCTCTTACCGAAAAATATGTAAGTCAAATGAAGCGCGCGTTTTTTTTTCGAACTAAGAGCCGCTTTCAACCGGTAACTATCAAACTATGACGTCACACTGAGGCAATACCTGCTGTACACTATCTATTTGCTTACACTAATTATTTATTTGTGTAATGCAAATGTTAAATACATACAAATAAATTACAAGCATTCTTTGTTCAAACTATCAACAATCCATCCACCTGTTGGTCGCGTGGGAAGGAAGGAAGGAATTAATAGTTTATTAATTATTTAATTAATTAATTACTTAATGCCAAAATGTGTTTTATTTTCTTAATATTAATATGAAATAAAATGTATGTTAATCCATATACGAATATATTATGTATATGCTCTTAGGTAGTTGTATATGATCCAGGGTATTAAAGCATCACATAAGATAATTACACGATGTTATATTGTTTCTTTTAGGTAATCATTTATACATTGTTTAACGATGTTATTGACTGTGTTCGTTGTCTGGCTTGATTTGTTGTCTGTGCTTTGAGTTCCGAATGATACGGAGAGCGCGCAACTAAACAGTTTTATTTGTGTTATCAGTGGTGTGTTTAGCTAAAACTGGTATACGGCTACCAAAACTCAACCACTGTGGTTTCATCCAGCTTAAGATCGAGGCCAGCTCGACCAAGTATCTCGGCTTGCAGAGACCAACAATTCAAACCAGTCGGCTTATCAAGCACAGTTTAGAATATTTCAGATTTCATATTTAGTTGTCTTATTTTGTTTTGATCATTTAATATTATTTATGAACTACACGTAACGTTTATACAATTACTTAGATAGATATTTCTGTAATGTTTTGTATTGTTTACTTGTTGATATTTTGTTGCTATATTATTTTTAATTTTTTGCATAAGTAATGGAATTTTTCTGTAGACAATCACTGCTTAAAACTGGTTCAATTCAGATCTCGCATAAATGGTTT